GTGTGTGTGTTTTGTTGTGTTTGTGTTGTGTGTGTGTATGTGTATACGTGTGTGTGTGTATGTGTATACGTGTGTGTGTGTGTGTTGTTTGTGTGTGTGTGGGAGAGAGAGAGAGGGAGGGTGGGGTGGCTTGCTTTGTGTACGTGTGTGGGAGAGGAAGCATATGTGAGCAGTTATACGAACAAGATTGGATGTGCCCTTATGTATACCTTCATAAATGCATATAAGATTATTTTCATGTGCGTGTTGTTTGAAGTGTTATGTTTAAATTAGTCATATACTGCAAAATATCCTCGTACTACAGTGCCATCGATAGCGGTGAGTAGTTTCCTCGAGCCATTGCTGCGCGTAATAAGAACTAAAAAAACTAAGTGTTTTCCAGAATCCACGTACGCTCAAACATTTACTTTTGAAATCAAACATGTTGTATCTCGCATTAAATCAAGTATGTGAACCGGCCTGTAAGCGGGAATATAATTGCATGTACACATACATGAAGAAAAAAAATATAAGAAAATAGGTACACCATACATGAAATTTATTTAATGAATATAACTGCATGGACACATGCTTGAAAAATATTTATGTGACTTAATCACTACAGTTCTATGTTCGCGAGGACTCACCGGATTCCTCGATGTGCCTGGCGCTGTCGCTGGTGAGCGAGGGGCCGCAAGAGGTGCGCCAGATGGTCGTGAACCCCCCGGTCGCTGGGAAGGCGCTGGCCGTGGTGACTGTTGCCCACCTACACTACCCTGCTTACTATTTGCGCCCGGCCGCCCAGCCGCCTCAGGTCTTGTTTGCGCATTGATCTTCCGCTGATCTTTCTCATAGGAACCGAATCCCACATTACCCGCGCCAAACATTGTTATTTAAAAAGCAGTTCAGTCACCATATGGCCTTTCGCTCTCTCTAGCCAGCTAAATATATGATCTGTAAATATGTATTTCAAAAGTGTTGTTTATTTACAAGTAAATATTTTATGCTCTCTGATATTTACATAAATATTTACATATAGCTTTTTCATAGCCTTCACTTTTTGTAAGCCTTCATCTAAATTGAACAATTTTTTGCTACATATTTGTTCATCGCACTCTAAATTATACAATTTGTTTTTGTTTGTTTTTTTCTAAAAACCTAATTTATCAACGAGAAAAAAATATAATTTTAAAACAAATGTACATGGTATGTATGTACCGACCTTGGCTCTTGGCCCTGTCCTAAGTGAGAAGGACTGGGCTGATAGAACCTGGACCGTCAGACCAGCATGGCCGGCCAGGATTAGGTTTAGGAATGAGACTGTATTGGAATAAGGATACGTAGCTTATTGTAGGAGACTGTCTCACTCATACACTCCCTAGCCCTATCTGCTAGTACAATTATTATGAGAGACTACTAATAGGGTAAAGAGAAGTGGATTTGTTAGTTACAAGAACTAGGAGATTGAAGATGCTGCCGTCCAACGAGATGTATGCGCCGCCATGGGTTTAAGAGGGTAACAAGTATGAACCTATGTAACCTTGGTTTGAAAAGTGACATGATTTTACGAACTCGCCTGTTTATCGTAAGCGGGCGGTTAGGCAGGGTGAAGAAGTATATGCGGTATCAGATTTTGCTGCGCAAATTGATTTGATGTTGAAATATGCTAGTGATGCGATTAAGTTGGAATTCAGCGTTTGTTGTCAGAAACAGTGACGGTGGTTGAAGTCGAGTGTTTTCTGATGTCACGTTATGGCCCTTCTAAGCATTTGATTCGTAGGAAGTTATTTTGATTTGATTACGTTGCGGTCATCGAATAAGGAAGATTCTGGTAAGTTGAAAAGAAAAAGAACACTATTTAATGGGAGGCAGCAATAATCGCCATTGAGGTGGTGATTTATACGCTCCATAAGTGAATTGAGCTGCGGGCTAATGAACCACCAACAATGAGTTTACTTATGGGGCCGCAGGTGATGCCCCAGCAGCAGTATTATCCACCTGGGGTTGTTGATTTCGGCCAAGGTGGGGGGCAGCAGTTTCAGCAGGGTTGTCCGCGGTTGTCGGACCCCCATTTGTTTCGTCTGGCGATTGGTGGTCAGGGGAGTTTTGATCCCCACTTGGGCTGGCGTTCTCAGCAGATGATGCCGATTTCTCGGACTGTTCAGGGGCGTCGGGGGCGTTCTTCTCGATGTTCGCGCTCATCAGTTCCATCAGTTCCGACACCGGATCGGCTGAGCGCTGGTATAGTCTGACTATGGGCCAACCACGATTTGATGGAACGCATGAAATTGTTGTACAGAGTTGTAAAACCAGGGTATATATGACAACCCTGCGCACAAGCGAATATCTATATCAGCCTTAAATTATATATATAAACCAACCTCGTTTTTAGATATACAATGTAAAAAAAAGTCTAGTATCGGCCCGATTTACAACTTCATACAGCTTCAACCAGTATTTTATGTTACCGTTATATAGAGCAACCAATACTGGCGAGGAATACAACTTGGATTCTACAACCTAAACAGTACTGTTGTATGCGGGAGTGCTGGACAGTTCATGAGTCTTTTGGAGTAATAAGTACTCCAGGAACCAAAAATAGATATTTACAATATATTAGATAATACAGGCAAGAAATTGTGTAGTGAACTAGGTGTAAGATACTATAAAACGGATGTGCGAATGAACACGCATTCTAGCTCGAATAGGTGCAGGTTTACTTTAATATGACGGTAATCACATTAAGTAGGAGGATCATACTTCAACTTAAATGTAGATGACTTCTTACTGGTAAAGAAGATGTAAAGATTGAGCTTACAAGCCGGTGTGATCAGTACTCCATGGTGAAGTATCACAATGTACTATATGGGCCTGATAACAGGTGAAGAATATAATTTAGGTTGTGATGCAACTGAGCTAGTTGAGACATGAGATAAGTACAAGTATGGAGAACTCTCGTGAGTACTTGCCAGTGCTGACAGGGTTTACAGCTTGTTGTCTAAACAACTATATTAGAAGGGTTTGCCGTACGTAATTTGTAATACGTCACGACTTTTGTTCTTACTCTTGAGTATTATTTTCTGAGCACAGAACAACACAATTTACTATATATTATTTACATATTTATATATAGCCTTCTGTATAATTCAGAAGGCTATGACGGATATTTTTGACTGACTTAGCTATCGACCTTCAACCGAGTTTGCGACAATCGTCTTGGTATCAAATATGACAATAGTGACCTGTTTAATGCCCGACGTAGCATGACAAATGTGTTCACAATGTGAGATAAGGTGGCAGCTATTAGTGTCAAATCTGTCAATCGTGACCTGTTTAAGGCCCGACGTAACACAGCAATGTATCCACACTGTGAGATAGGTAGGAGATTACACGGTTTAATACATGCTTTCAGAAGAAAAGATATTGCATATCTACTAGAGGGAAGTTGTCTAAAAATAAACCATTTTGATTCACTCTTTTATTTGCGTTTAACCACACGCCTCATTGTATTTCCGCGCGAAAAAAAACGTATAGGCGGAACATGACACAAAGGCTCTGTGACGGAGTCACGAAAAGCGTGCCCAACTCGAGCATATTCATGAGTTCACTACGCCACACTCTCATACTAAAAAACACTTCAAGTGTTGAGAAAATATAGTTAAAACACGTCAAATCGATAACACATCAGATATACCATATAATTCGATACCTCTCATCGTATACAGAGTTCGGCTCGGTCACAGGGCTGTCGCGGTGGACCTGCGGTAATGGGGTGAGCGCGGAATTGGCCATGCGAGTGTGGTAATGGCACAGAGAGAATATCTTGACCTGCCTGAAGCATGATAAGAACAACGCGTAACCCGGGAAGATAACCCCATTGTTGTAGCCGGGCCCCCACATTAGACTCTATGTTATAATCGTACTCTTAAGCAGTACGTAAATTATAATCGTACTCTTAAGCAGTACGTAAATTATAAACGTACTCTTAATAGTACGAGGAACTTAAGCTTCCTAAATGGTTTTTAATGGTTTTATTAATTAATACCTTTTCCATTTTACATATCAAATATTTGGACGAGGCCATTAAAAGGCCTCAGTAAAATACCAAATATAAGAGTTGGTCTAGTTCTATTAATAGAACTATATTTACTTTCCAACTTTATTTATATATGAATACTTCGGTAGCGAGATGGCTCAACCGAATAAAGGTTTCTAGGGACTATTAACGTTACCTAGTTGATCCTCCGATCAGCCAACCAGATGTGCCAGTCTGATGAAGGCTAAGTCGGTAATTCTTGATAAGTGGCAAGTTATAGGTTAAGACAATAACTAAGGACATCAAGAGTATTTTTTATTTTCTATTTATTTTTATCTAAAGATAGGATTTTATGAGTCTCTCGGATTCGCCCCAACGAAACATACCATAGTTTCTAATAGAGCGACAACGAAACACTAAATAAAATCCCTTCGGCGGAAACAGTACTGAGAAGATTATATAGGCAATGTCTCAGCCTCACAATCCCTCAGAGTATTGCTGTTTTCACGAGGCATACCTAACTGTACTAAAAGTCTCATTTCGTTTATTTACTTTGATATTTTCACGATACTTAGAATTTACCTACGCGTTTATTTACTCTAAGGCGTTAATATCACCTTAATAGACCGAATCTTACACATTTTAAAAATAGCAAAGGTTTTAATTACTTAGACTACTTAAGCGAAAAGGTAGATTAACTACCACAAAGTTTTTCTTGTCCAAGCTAGTCCTTAAGAGACAAGCTAGTAGTCACAAGTTAAGATTATGACCAAGAAAGACAATACTCCTTCTAAAAAGCGTAGAGCTGAAAAGAAGAGGATGGAGAGAGAAGCCGCTAGCGCTGCCGCTGCTGATGCGTCTAACCGCACTGTAGCCGAAGTACTTGCCTCCGACAATAATAGTCAACAGGATAATGCTTCAGATAAGGAT